AATTAGTCCAGTCATCCCTGGACAGTTTCACCTATTGTGGGATAAAAATATCAACCAAGAGCACGCAACATGAAATTCAGTGAGACTGTTTTCTTTCGCTGACTTTTTCTGACAGCCGGTGCTGTTCTAGACCGCATGTCTATGACTAAGGAGAACCAATACGTTTCGCCCATATCGACGTTGTTGTGAATGTGTTGTCTGACAATTAGTTGGGGTCGTGCTGATGTGACCACGGTATGGGAAGAATGCTCAGATGTGGTGAAAGTGTGTTTCTTAGATCGTGGAACGGTTGACGTAGCTAAGTGCATGATAGCTGCCCCTTGTCATCGCGAAAACCGCCTCGCCATAGTAGGGCTTCCCAGTGGCCTCTTTCGAAGAGAGCACGACTGCGCGATGACGCACTCTGCAATACTCGATGAGACAATACAAGAACACCGTCGCCTCCAAGCGAACGCTCACTGCAACGTCATTACAGGGGCAACAGCAAAGAAAGCCAGCCAGGAAAGGCTAGCGGCTGAGATCTTCTCGCCGAGTCAAGTCAGTGTAGCGTGTTGACTGTGGTGAGTGAATATAGAAAGACGCTAGGCGAAGCAGGACTACTGATGTCTTCCTCTCCAACGCTTGTAGCAAAGCGGTAAACCAGAAGGCCGTTACTGGTCCGTGCATTGCCCCACGAAAGCTCAAGCAAAGAGCCTAAAAGGCTTAATGCGAATTTATCTCTGGTGGTGTTCATACGCGCGGCATCTCTTGCCTTTCCGGCCACGCAGCGAATAGTTTTGGTTCAGTGTTGAAGTAAACTACAACAGTTTCGTTCCTCAGCCAAAAGGCCAAAAAAAAAAACCAAGTAATTATGGGTGAGTTAACAACGTAAATTACATACAAATTAATCGCTCGATATAAATCGTATGTCGCATCGTCTCAAACGTTTTACACTAATATCAATTAAATCTAAAGCTTGAGGACGATTTTTCCAAAACACGAACCGAAAGGAATATCAGTCAAGCGATAGGCTTAATGAGTGGACGTGCAGTGATGACCCAATAGAACGTGCAAATAAGCGGCATTTGATTAAAAATCGTTCATGTACAGACCCTCATATTGACGACTAAATTAACCCGAGGACGCGACATCTTTGATTAAGCAGTGCGTTTCTGTAGAATAGATAATGAAAATTGAATCTCAGGGTGGCCATTACCTTCGCCACTCGTTATTCAGTATGCCTTTAAATTATGCCTTTTTCAAATGATACTAGCTCAGATCAATATGCAAGACATTTTTTAAAAAAATAATAAATTTTTTTTAAATTAGTAATAAACCGAAAGTTGCTAACAAATTTGTTCGCAAGAGAAAAAATCGAGGCGATCAATAGATGGCACGCGTCCAGTACCACATCTAGGATATCTTAAACGATGAGCACTTTCATAAAAACCAATATCTGGAGTAATAACAATGATAATAGCTTACCACTTAACCGAAACCATATGTAATTACTTCAGTTATAATCGAAAGCCGTTTTGAAATAGCACGATGAGCCAAAAGCTCAAATAAGGTTGATTGATTGATTGATTGATTTCAATCGTTCCTTGGTCTAATCAACGACTTATGACAGTCAACGCAAATCTTGTCTATCGATAATGTTTAGATTTATTCGTAACCTTCTATGAAAAATTAACTGCAACTAACCTAATACAGGATCGATTATAGGTCAGCTTTCTAATTATGAACCGATCAATTTAATTAAATTGGCACTTTATACTGCTGCTATTCCTTATTATCGGAGGGATCTTTTTCAAGCAGAAACAGCACAGTTTGTTATAAATAATCACATCTTAAATTCGGTTCTTCTTTCGCAAAACACAAGAAATCATGCACAAAATGTGCCCCCTGCCTAGAACTTCGGTCGTCGGAGAGTCGGACAGAATAGTTGGAAAAATACTTAGGCCATCTTCGTGATCACTGAGGAGCTATTAACATGTGTACTGCCGGTCACATATTGATGTATCTGCTTTTCCTAAGCGGCGAATCGGTGTTGAGATAACTTCCAGAAGAGAACATTGCAGTGTTTATATATAGAAAATAAATTATTGCCCTTTTCGAAATGTAGATGTATTTCTTGATGCTACATATACCATGTACAGTTTGTTGTTCGTTACCTACAACTTCTGCTAATAGCAGTAGCAGAAAAAATAACTCAGCTTTCCAATTGGATTTAAACCAGCACGGCTGGTAGTGCTTTTTTCGTGACGGTAGATACACAAACCAGAGTTTGTGGTTTATGGGCGTCTGTGTGTGTGCACATTTGAGTGAGAACGTCGGGTACCCTTAGTTATGGGCAGCTAGAGCTTTCTTTTTGTATATCTTATTGGTCACCACGTTCACACACACGCGTCTACTGAAGGACTTATAAATGTTGCTTTATTATAACCGTTCTAAGGCTTACCGCGTAGCCCGTGGGATTCCAAACACAAAATGAATTTTCACGCTTCTGAATTAAACTTAGTTATACTGGATAAATATGCAGAAATCGAGCTAATAAAGATCCATCATGTAAATGAGCTAAATTACGGTAAATAAAGATGTCAAAGTTGGATCTCTAAAACGAGATTGATATAGACCGTGATTCTCTTGCCGTAACAAGTGTTATAGTGCAACAATAACACGCCTAACGTAAATATTGCCATAACAATGTGGATCCATAGATATTTGCGTAATAGGTCAGCGCATCAGTGGTTATTTCTGATATTAAGAAAAACCTGTTTAAAATATTTATAATCTAAAAAATTCTTTGAGTCCTAATATTTTGAAGAAAATCCCGTTGAGAATATAAATAACACCGAAAATTCTTCACGTGTTTGTTCGCAAAGCCGAAAGTATTTACTTTCGGCTGGTTTCTCCTCAGTGAGCTTGAGATGGGCCAAGCTAGACTCAGCAATAAACAACGGCAGCCATAAGAGTAGCAACGTTGAACTACCGTATAGCGTAACGCAATGCATCGACCACTACGTTTTAGGTTGGCTGGATTAAGCTGATAGACAAAGGGCACGTCGCGCAGCATAACTGTTATCGTTGTCGTTACTCAGCAATGGGAACAGTACGCGGTTATCTTTCTCGTAGCCGACATCGCAGCATCGTTTGTCTGAGACCGTACCAAGGGTTTGGTAGATGTTGCTTTCGTTGTCTTCAGGGCGAATGGGCGCCCTCTACCCACTACCACGTAGATCAACTTGCGTACGCCAGTGTAGCAATGCCGCTACCGCTCGTGGCGCTATTATGACTGCTATGCTCGAACTAGCCTTGTCATCTATATTAGTTCCTATATTAGTTCGTATATAGTGTATACGAATGGGCAGTAGCAGGGCATGTCGTGCCATCGAGTACGAAAGAAAAGAGGAAGACCTCTATTTTGGACAATACATCAACGCCGGCAGTTACGGTTCGAAAAAAACACCGCTATCTGTTGAGTCATTGGTATTTTGGCTAATATAATTATTATTACCTCATTTTTTCTTTAAATACCCAAACAGGTATGGATGGATCGATATGTCCGCTGTTATGTGCATGAATGCGTCAACCACTCCTGCATTTGCAGAAATCCTTGCGAGAACACAAAAATTAGACCCGTCCTGTCACGGGAAGATGCTACATATTTGTAAACCTTTAGCGCAAGGCGAGGAATATAAAAAATGCCTATACGATTACTATTGTGAAAAGATGAAAACTGAAGTGCGTACGAAGCTTCGTTATTATATTGTGACCGTGGAATCATCAAACTTGAAACGTAATTCTTTTTTATCTGTTTAACGTTGTAGTTATTTCGAAAGTTCATGTTTATGTACAAACCCATCATGTGGTTATCAGTGTAGACTACCTCTTCCTGGTATTATATTAAATAAAGACGATATCACCTCTACGTAAATGTGCTATTAACGTAATTGTCATCGCAACTGTAAAATAATATAATTATATTAAGCTGATTGTGTGATTTCGTTGGGTGGGGTGTTTCCATCATCGATAACTTAAGTTTTGAAGAACACCAAATCAATCATTTTGTAAGAAGGCTTTGGCTTGAAATTCGTGAGAGGTACTTTGAGGTAAAAGGGTGAGTTGTTTCGTGCAAAGCGTGCCATGCTTGCTTTCTAAGATACTTACAAGACTTGTAGCCGCTTTTAGTGGTCTCCGATAAAAAAAGCTCATCAGGAGTTATTGTATTTCGAACTCTAAATTTTGTGGACCGATATAGAAAACCTCGCGTTTTGTAGAAGGATTATGGTTTACTTCGTTAACATGATATTTTCAAACGAAAAAATAAAATGTTTTGATCAAACCTCCATCGTCTTACATTTTGTACCTGCCTCATTTACACAGCTCCTTTGATCAGTGTCCAATATTACAAAATTTACGCACACGCGATATTATATTATATCTTATAATAGGTCATGTCTTAATTACATCCTGTCTTTATTATGAATCGATACTGTAATCTTGTCGATAGAATACGATCGCTCCTACCCAGTCTGTGACTGAACAGATTCAGGCTCATCGTTCAGGTCTCTGGTTCCTGTTAAAAAAATTATTTAGCAATATAGAAATCTACTTTTGGAGCCTATAACTTTTAAGTTGTGATGCCATTGCTGATGTCTACAGAGTTAACCCATGCGACCTTTAATTGAATCTCATAAGAAACGTGCATCAGCTTATCTATAGCTAACTAGATCGGCTTGCGCTTATGGGACGCTTGGAATTCTATAAGCCAATGGCGGAGACACAGACTACCAGGCAGTGAGACAGTGAGCTACCTGTGTTTAGGCGCCTGTGTTGCCTCGAAAGGCACGTGGTTCCCTAACTGATTATTGGCTAGTCTTGCATGCATAACATGGGCACTTTGCCTAGTATATTCTGATGTGGTCATCGCCACGCTTGTGTGACACACGCAGCGGCACGTGCGATTCACTCAGGCACTTCTCCATTCAAGACAAACAAACAAACGAACGAACGAAGGCACCTATCTTGGCTATGCGCTTAAGTGCCCTCACTCTCCGCTAATGATGCCAGGGCCTCTCCCCCATCTGCCTGGTCCACACGCACGCGCGCGGGGCTGTTGTCTCCTTTACCCTCCTTCCCTTGCGCGTTGGTTGCTGCCAACGTTGGGTTAGCTCTATCCATCGCTGAATGCCAAACAGACATAGCACCATCCAGCTGTAGTACGTGCTACGCCGGCTAGTCGATACGCGCCACATCTTCGAGGGCAAGGCAAACCCCAACGTCCTCGGTCTCCTTCGTCACTGGTTTCGAATTGTTGTAGATTGGACGGACACCCCGAGGCGGCCAGTGAACGAACAACTGAAGAGCAAGCTAGCCAACAAGTAATTGTCGAGCGAACACCTAAAAAGCTCGTCATTTCTTTGAGTCATGTAAACGATGGACATTCGATTCGAATCACTTCCCTAATGGCAGGCGGTTTGCTACGTGCAGCAAGCTGCACAGCGTGCGTTTGACAGCGAAACGCTACGGCCTGTGGTGGGCGCGAGGATCGCAATCGTGAGAGATGGCTCGCAAGGCATCAGGCCTCCGCGTGCAACCGTTAGTGACCTCCTAGGAGGCCTGGTCGTTAGGTCACCGTCCCAACCCACTGCCTACTCTAGGTGCGTGCGTGTGTGCTTATGTATGTACATGTACCTGTCTGACCGTCTGTCTGTTTCCGTGTAGCGGTGCGTGTGAGAACAAATTCATCGTACAACTCCCTGTGGGAGCTGTGCAAGAATAAGTTCCCTAGCTGCCCCAAGAGTAGTTGTATCGGTCCATTCGTGCGAATACGCCGATGCGCCGGACCGCTGCTGCATCGACTGAATGTTGCATCGCCCCCGACATATCCCCAGGAGCCGGCGACTTACTCCCACTATTACGAATTGCTTCTGCCATCGCAATTATCTGCTGTATAGACAAACGGCCGTTATTCGGCAGGTTAACAGCGGCAGGTTCTGTAAGGACCTGTTTGATGACGAGATCCTCGTCGTCGCTATCGTGTCCTGTTGGATACGACGGGTGACTGAGGGCCAAGAAAAAATAGAAAAAGACGAAATCATTCGACGTGCTACGGCAGTCACGTAGGCGAGGTCTTTTATACATTAACAATAGCTGATAAAAGTTTACCACTGAGAGGATGGGTGGAACGCTTGGCGTAGCTGGATCATCCTATACACGGACGACCCTTATATCGTCTCATGAACTGAAGACCTTCAAAAAGAAGAAGCGTAGAGGGCAGGATCTCTTCGACGTGATGGGGAAACCATGCTGGTCAGGTACCCCACCACCGGAGATCCGCATTATTGAGCCTCCTTGGGGAGAAGACGAAGCCTACAACGATGCTTTTACTGGTGCGTATTCATCTGCTGAATATTACAATCATCTTCATTGCTGTTGTCGATAGGAAGAGCAGGGGCGACGCACACACCACACATGCACTAGAGTTATGATACAATGCGGCCATGGTATTCAGCCAATGAACACGGTTGTACCTTTCCCAGTACAAATCTTGCAGATCAGCCTGGACATATATACCGCGACATTAGCTGCATGTCAACACCTAGTGACGATATCTATTTTTTAGCCATTCCGTATTAGTCTATGTGTAGTAATTCGACATTGTCCAAAACTCGAACGGCTTTAATGCGAAGAAAATGATTAAAATTTAAAAACACTTTTTCTCAATGTAAGTAAGTGGCACGACACGCCAGTAATGATTCAACGGCACCACCGCTACAGCGTCGGTTATATCTGATAATGACTGCTGATATCTTCGAAGCGTTGCTTGTAACATCATTTGTCCTTGTTTTTTTTTATCGAAACCTTTCTTGGCAAGCGTGCTTACTTCAAAAACAATTTTTAGGTTCGTTGGAAGGAACTATTTGTATCACTTAAGAAGATGTTAACACACTCCGTTTCGTTGTGCGGTTAATTCTGCCGTTGCTGCTAAAATTCAACCTGTATAGGTGTCGAAATTGTTATCCAACTATCGCCATCGTATCATTATTTTCGTGGATAACGAAGAGCTGTTGTTTTTGCTAGAATTCTCGGACTAACAGAAGCTCGAAGGTCAGTGGTCATCGTGAAGTAGCGGTCACGTTAGTGGTAACGTCACGCGGGTTTTTGAAGACGACGCGCGAATTTTATGGCTTGTTCGTATTTTGTCTAGTTTACTATTATTATTATCATAATCTCGATTATTATTTGATATGTGCTTCGGAAGGTGGAATATAAATTATAACTCTTTTTTTTTGTCAAAAGGTTCGTTTACGCTTACGCACTTCAACCTTAACAAAACGAAAATGCTCACATGATGTAATAGGTAACTGATCAACTATTGGCAATAAGCATTGCCTTATTGCTGATAAAAACAAATAGAAACCAACGTAATAGAATACATTTATAGTAGTTTACAGTACGAGTTCTGTCATGTAACCGCGAAAGAGCTTCATTTGTGTATTTCGTAGTATACCTTGGTCTCTACGTCACCCTGCTCATTAACTAACTGTTTCCTTCGTGTTATGCTGGCTTCACATAGAAAACCCATCATTACCAAATGGTGCTCCAGATTACAGAGACGTTTCATCTTCCGATTAGTCGCCCACATGAGGACCGTCATATTTCCCCACTTCGGAAATGGCACTAGTAGCTGCTCGCGATCACTGTTGTTATTATTATAGTGATAATCGAAAAAAGTGGGGTTGTATATATGTTTGTTTTTCCCGTTGCCGATGTCGGCAAGCCCCATCGATCGATTCGTGGCAGGGATCTTGTACGACAAGTTAACGCAGTAGCCTATTCGCTTTTGTGTAATAGTACAAACGGTAATACTAATACCAAATTTGAGAAGTGGGGAAATATTTAAAAAAAAAAAAGAGTAGCAAAGAGTGCTTTTGGGACTGATAAGTTAGTTTCATCGCTACCCTCAGTGCGTTGAAACACAATCGTCTCTATTTTGTTGTATTCGCAGGAACGTTAATAGAACTGTCGCAGGGACAGAAAACGTTTACAGATATGCGGTGTATAGTTTTGCAGGTACAATGGGTTTTATAGTGACTACCGTACTGGGTCTGCAAATGTTGGTATTTTTATTATAAATAATGAAACAAGTGCTATCGCTTTTGTATTATTGGTTGGTCGCTTTCGTTAAAAGAGCGTCTCTTTTGCTGCACTTGAAAAAAATGTTTTACTGTCGAACTTTTCAGTGGATTGACGTGCATCGTAACCGCAAATGAAACATCTGTGTATTTCGACAACAGCTTTAAATAACGAGGCTTTAAAACGAAAAAAAAAAAAAAAAAACTTGAGACTGAGTATAGCATAGCAGTATCATTGTACCTTATGACTAAATCCTTATTTCTTCCATCGTTATTTGTGTACTTGACGTAGGTCAGGATCAGGCGTGGGTAACACTCGCTACCAACGATACGTATGGAATCGGTGCACTGGTGCTTAGTGCTTCGTTACGGAAGGCCGGAACATGCCGCCAGTTGGCGATCCTGATCACGTCGCATGTGACTACCCCCATGCGTCGATTGCTCGAGCAATCTTTCGACCTCGTCAAAGAAGTCAATCTGTTAGACTCGAATGACGCCGCCCATTTAGCGGTCCTCAAACGACCTGAGCTTGGCATTACTTTCACTAAAATCCATTGTTGGACGCTTACTCAATACACAAAATGTGTCTTTTTGGATGCCGACACGCTTGTAAGTGGAATTTACTAGGAAACACTTCAAACGTTATTTGAATCATTCGGTTTATTTTTGTTTATTTATTATTATTACATTATTTGATTACTATTATAAAGAATTCTTAGAATTAACAAGTAAGAAAATGTTACTCGTAACTCGATTTTTATCTTACATGTTTTAGGTGCTGAAAAACTGCGATGAATTATTCCAACGTGAAGAGCTGAGTGCGGTTCCCGATGTGGGATGGCCTGATTGCTTCAACTCTGGTGTGTTTGTGTTTGTTCCTTCAGTGAAGACCTTTGAAGAACTCGTCGCGCTTGCAGATCGCGAAGGCAGTTACGACGGAGGTGACCAGGGCCTACTCAACAGCTATTTCAGTGACTGGGCTACCAAAGACATCGCACGACACCTATCATTTATCTACAACATGAATTCAAGCGTCTTTTATTCATATCTTCCTGCGTTCCTGAAATTCGGACACACAGTCAAGGTTTTCTTTTAGTAATATAAGATAAGATAAGAGATATAATAAGATTCATTAGCTAGATGCTCGTTTCGCTCAAAATTTTCATAACGAACTCAATTCCTATCAGTGATGCTGTCGATTGTCTCAACAATTGTCTCAGAAACCCGTTCCACCTTCTGCACATGTACGTAACGGGCCGAAAACATATCTTTGAACATATCCAAACCGTAATTAGAGAATATTTGCTCCCTACATGTGTAGTTGCTGAATGTTGTATTTTGGTCTTTTGTATATTCTAGATTGTCCATTTCTTGGGTGCGCGTAAGCCGTGGCATTACAGTTACAATCTTCTAACAAACTACGTAGATTGCGGCGATATAAATTATCAAGAACACTTGCGAGTGTGGTGGAACCTTTTCATGAGTCACGTTCAACCAAGACTTACGCCCAACTGTGTAAGTGAATCACAGGCCGGATTTTTTCCTATTATACAGGCAGACATTTTATTGATTTCTTCCTTTATTGCATAGTTCAATAGTACAAACTAACGTACACGTTGGTTGAGGTTGCTCTACCAATATAACATGCCAATTGATTGCTGCCGTACATGTAAACACGTTCAAATCATAAGTATAGGAATCCTCCTTCAAATGCAGCAGTAGTACACACCGATTAATAGTTCTTCATGCAATCACCTCACTGATTGACGGTACACAGGCTGGGCTCGCTGGCGAGATGTCCAAACTAAGCATCAGGAGCGCTGAGGAGTTGCGTAACTATCCCGTAGAGCAAATACTTGGGCCAGAAGCACGGCAATTCGCGTGGGAACGTGGTCAGATAGACTACCTAGGTGCGGACGCCTTCGCCAACATCCAGAAGAAGCTCGACGCCGCCATGGAACCATCGGGTGAGTAAATAAACCGGTTCACATCTGTAGACCAATTATGGTTTAGGCAAGTGATGTTCTTTATGCCATACGAAGATCACCGCTAAACCCCATGGCATTGCTGTTTGATCCTTATGTTGCGCAAGCTCAAATCACAGTGGAGGCCTATCTATCTGCTATTGAGCCTAGTGATTGCACTGCCTGTGATGTCAGCCGTTTGCAAACTAGCGATTCGTCGTACGGTTCCGAGATTTCTGAACCGTGTGATAGCGAATACACTAAAATGAGAATGAGCACGACAAAACAGATTAAATTTGCTTTATTTGACGTCACTGTGAAACGTGCAGCCGGACAAGCTGAATTGAGCGGGAACTTTTTTGCTCAAATATGAGAGTAAGTCTTGTTTCGCATCTAATGCTTTCGATAACAAGATTCAATGTTCGTCACTTCTACTTCCTATTGATCGAGTGCATGGATATATTCGTTTGCCATAGTGCTTATTCTCTTTTATTTTGTTGGTTTGCGAGGTAAGGTCTCCCACTACGGGACAGAAAACCACGCGCCAACGCCACCAGTACAGTAATGATCACTATCATCATCATTATCGCCAAAACTACGTTCTTCTATGTTCGATAGTAGTTGTTGCTTAATTATTACTTTGGTTCGCCGGTCGCTGTCATCGTTGTTCGTCCAATCGATCGATCCATTCAACGTGCGCAGCGCTGTCGCGGCTCAAACCAGTGGCGCTCTCTTCGCTTATGGAGACGACGGCAGACGAAGACGACGATAAAAGGCCATTGGTGGCGCCTTCACAGACTCCCGACAGCGGCTCCCGAGTCCGCCCACAATCATCACAACCCCACGACCATGAGCAACATTTCCACATTCCCGCTTTTACATTGTCACGTCCCTTAATCAGTATTTCCGCTGCTGCTACTACTGCTACTACTGCTACTACTGCTACTGCTACTGCTAGCAATATTCGGCCAGCACATGCGCTGTCCCCAGTACCTCACTCACTGTCAACAACAGCCTCTGTTCAATCCCTAACGCAACCTTTTCCTTTCCTGCCTGGAGTTTCTCCGTATCATCATCATTTACAAATTTTGCCATTTCCTTTTGGCTTGGCTATGGCTGTACCCACACCTCCAAGGGCAACTAGCTCATTGCCAAGTAGACCATCGCCAACCCCATTTCCTTTTCCCATGCGGACGAACACCGCTGGCTTACTGAACGTACCCCAGCAACCTCCATTAACGCTTGGCCCCGATAACCTTTCGATCAGTACCACTAATTCTAGCTTCAATGAGATTGACCCAGATCGGAGTCGAAGCAGCGCCAGCAGCCTAACATCCCTTCCGAAGATCGACGAAGTGATTGAAGACGTCGACCCTAACTCGGTTGTTGTTCCCTTCCGTACGTTCGTCGATGCCGCGGTCAACACCGACCTAACGCTTACCGATATCCTCTACACGAGTAGAGATGACCTCGTAGGGGGCACGGTGAGAAAAGCCTTTCCTGAGGATTTATTTTTGCTGTCGCCAACGTCGCTCGGTGGAAGATCTCGTCATAAACAAAAGCAAGCTTTGTTAGCTAGACCGAGCGAAGGGACAATTGATGCGCGCCTGGATGTCGTCGAGACCCCGTCACGGAGTAAGGCCAGCGACTCGAAAGAGACCAGTAATACCGAGGACCGTCAAGAGCAGAGTGAGGACTCCCAGAACGCGATCGTCACGGACGGCCGCGAAGATCCAGCTAAGAAACCTGATGGAGGCTACTGTAGCATGACGTAACGGCGGTCCACCCCGGAGTCCACCCCACTCCCCAACGCCGGCGAACTTTAATCCATACGCTCGTTTTCACCAGAGATTTGGCTCTCCTTCAATAAAAAAAAGATAGACAAGCTGAGCATGCACATTTTTAAGCAAAAGAAGTGCTAGTCCAAGCGGTGATACCAATTTAGCATTCCAAGGCAGTTGATGCGGTTCCGTCAAGATGAGGCGCAAGCTATTTCCGTATGTATTCCGTGTCCAATGTACACAGACGTCTCGTGCAGACACGCTCGTATTAAACTCCTAAAACTGCCACCTAGTCTATCTGATAAATTATCACAATCGTCGTACTATGTGATTTGATCTTCAATGACTCGCGCTTCCTTTTGTTTCCTTACCCTTCATTAAAACTCTGTAGAATTATCCTCTGTTTGCTGTTGCGGATCCTGCTGCTGTACAATTCTGCTGAGCGTCTTTGCAAAAACGCTGTTCTCCTAAAGACAAGCGATGCTGATCTCTTCGAACTCGTTGCATTTTGTATATTCGAAAAAAAAATAATGGCCATGCATAAGGGGTGGGGGGCACATGACTATCGAGTCTTTGAGGTCGCTGTGGCAGAACATTCCAGCGCAGTCGTGCGTTCATAGCTGTTTCTTGAGCTATGTTTGTAATCGATTGCGGAAGGATGAGTAACATGTACGATTTACCTCTAACATCACATGACAACCATACATACATAGTTTTTACTTTACTACAGAGTGTGCGATGTGGGGTTCTCAGGCCTGGATGGTGTGGCCTGGACCTAACCTGGATGATGTTGCTGGTCGTTGTTATTATTGTTGTTGTCATTGTTGTTGTTGGTGGTGGTGTTGATGATGATGATGATGATGATCGTTATGATGGCGATGATGACGATGATGTAGCGAGAGGCGCGAAAGAATTGTTGTTGTTGTTGTTGTTGATGGTGGTGATGAATATGATGATGATAGTAGAACTGAAGATAATACCAAGCCGAGCGTGATAAGGTCTTTGACTTTCAGCCGCTCCGCCTGACGCCGTGACCACCGCCCCTTCAGCCCAGCAACCAGCCGCCCCAACTTCCGGGCCTGGGGTGTCGACCCCGCAACCGCCGCAGCAGCCTCAGGCGTAATTAATGTCATTAGGCTCGGGAGGTGACGATGATTGATGGTGGTTTATGGAGAGCAGCACCGTATGAAGCAGCTAGAAATATTCTGGCAACTCGCTGGACGAGAACCCGCACAACTACTAGATTCAAGACGTTCATGGATATAACAGTAGTAGTAGTAGCAGCAGCAGCATGGAAGCCATTGACATTAGTCGAATTATCAATTTAATTACATAGTTTTTAAATGTCTTAGATGCGCGACAATGGTGACGATAATAAAGGAATGAGTCCCGACTGCTCTCTCATAATGTCATTTTACCTTTACGAAGCTTGCCTTTTTTCCAATAGAACACTCATTTTTAAACCTGTACAACAACAGTTACATAAGTAGATATATATATATGATATACTATGATGGGCTTACTGGCTACGCTGACTGTAGTAAATTGAACTTGACGATGCAGTCTTTCGACGTAACGTCTCATAGCCTGAGGGACAAAGTGTTGCGGGATTTGTTCAGAGGTCGCTTTAGGCATTCTTATCAAACATATATATATATATATATATATATATATATATATATATATATATATATATATAGAACACTATTTATTATCACTGGTTCATATGATTGAAATCATATGAAATGTTAAATGTTGAGTGCAATAACTTCAACATCAATTGTTAAGTTGAGCAAAAGCGTTACACCGACATATTTTACTAAAACACGGGACACGAAGAAAATGAACACACACAAATATTATATATACATTATATATATAGTTATATATACATTATGGAAATATATAATATTTAAAGAAATGAAAGCAAAACAATTTTTAATTGTTGCTCTAGCAAATAATATAAAAAAGTAAGCAAATAATAAACGGTCAACAAACAAAATGGATTTATTCATTTATATAACGTAAAATTATGAAGAAAAGATCGGGGCAACCTGAGTTTGGTTAGTTGAAAGATGTCAAAGCTACTATATACTATTCTTAGAAAGTTCTGTCTGACAATGAAAATTAGAAATATATTTATCACAGCTCAGGGACAGGGCCGTAGACTATCTACCGATTGCTAATGAGTAACAGATGAACGTCAAAAAAAATTCTACTCAACGAAGCTGTCATTGTATGTAATTTGTTTAATGTACCTGCGTGTTTAGGTAAAACGCATCGAAAATATCCTACGCGCTGATTTTCTGCCGTGTCCAAAGTTCCTATCGATCGTAGCAGGCCCATTATATTGTTGACCCAGTATAGTGCCGTATGCAGGAGTCGTTCACACAAATGGAGTATTTAGTGGTACATTACATACAAACTAGTCTAGAGAGTTTAATAAATATGTGAAGTATGACAACTTTCAAAACGCAGTATTTATTATTTTTTCGTAAATTCTTGTTGCTATTAAGTAACAAAAAATGTTGATAATGTACATCGCTGATGGCAAGATGGACGTCAAGTTTAACTTTGTGTGAATATAACAGGCACTCTACATAAGTATAAATAGTCGGGGTCGCGCAGAAACGGGGCTGGATAGAAACAAGAACAATACGACAATTCGGCTGGCGCGTCGCACGTTTTGGGCGCGCGTACGTCGATGTCGACCTGTTTCCGTATGGCATATTTATTTGACCCTTAGTGCTTACATACGTTCCAACCCGGTCGGTCTATACTTCCGCACAAATTCAATCCAGCATTGCTGAGAGAAAGTAAACAGCATCGACATTTTTTACCGAGAAACACAGGAGCGTAAGATAAAGTATATTATATGTACAGATAAGGAAGATTCCCTATTCATGGTAGCACAAAATGAATAAAGTATTCGTGTCTATAGAACATCGAACTAATTACATATTAATTTATGCGGTGGCTAGGTCTGCAGGTTGTCCGCACTGAATATAGCGCACCCCGCATCCACACAATAGAGGGATCAACAGTAAGTAAACAGTAATTCGTTCCGCTACATTGCATCTTTGTTTGCTATTATCATTACCTTCGACGCATCTCTTTCGACGTATCACTCTTCCCGTCATTGTTACTGGGTATTTCGACGTTCCCATGAACATCCGCCTTTTCCTCGATCCCCGACTGTGCAAAACGCCAGGCTAAAAGACTCACGACGTTGCTACGTCGTCTAACAGGCAGGTAATTTTTATGTTCCATTTACTGCGCCTTGTAGAGCAAACGAAAACGTGTAAAATTTGAAATACCCTCTCGCTTTGTCTCTTCCTCTTCCTTTTCTGGATGGATGCGCCTTGATCACGACGAGATCAGAGGCCGTATACCCAAATGTGGCCGTCAAATAGTCTCTTGTGCAGAAGTCAGTCACAACTCTCAGGCAACACTTTTCGTCGATATCATCTTGAAAATATTGTTTGACGCTTGATGCTAAATGGGGAAATTTGCTCATTTTGCACTACTGTATATGACGAGTACCGTAGATAGCCAGAACGTCTAATAAGGCTTATTTTTGAAAGCTCGAACTAATGTTGTAATAAAACGTACCTCCTAGTGCTAATTTGAAAAAGTATAAGTGTATCTAAAATAATGTTTTTTTTTTTATCACATTTTTCAGATATCCTTCTCCGAGACTTGAAATTTCCCTTTAGTAATTTAGTGGTGACTGGAAAATGTTCTATGCAGGCCATTTCTGTCCCTGCCTTAGTTTATAGATAAAGTTCAATATCCATTCTTTCCACAAGGATGCCAAACGCTAAAAGGTAAGGCATCGAAGAAGTTGACTCTGTCGATTGCTGAAGGCAACACGACATCCATATCGGTATAAAAACAAAGCCGTCTTGATCCGATCTGATCTGCTGCTGCTCAGAGATCCCAACTGAAAAGATGATGTTTCACCAGCATGTCACGAACACCTTCCCGGAGTGGTTCCTGCGACGGTGGAGTCTTATTCGGTAGTTCCCAGTCTGGACTCAAATTAAATGAAAATTGATTCAATAACCTGTAAGCAAAGTTCCTTAATTAGTTATTAATTGATGTTCGAAATAGTAGACCGTCATTCAACTGTCAAACCGATCGAACGTTTGTTTCGGCAAACCTGTTTCATTTAAATAGGTCTGTTTTTAATTAGCAGGACAGCATCACGTCTATGTTCGACGTAGTTCATTCATAGAAAGGTCACTTTTAGAAGCACACAGAGGTGAAATATGCAGCTTTACCTTTACAAATAAATAATACGTGTGGGTTATTAGCAGTAAGCAAAAGGGCTTCCGAAGAAGTTAACATGTTGTTATTCTAAAATGAGCTTTGCTACTGGTGATAATTACTAATGAAATAAAGTAACCTGAGTTCGCATTTGATTTGCACCCAGCCCGGGGAGTTGACGAAGGACCAGGGATGGTACCACTTATGGACGACGTCCACTCGTGAGCAGAGCACCTCGAACCAAAGGTGAAGCAGCTGTTCGTTGAGACCAAGGCACACAAGTGTGCGTAACTTCACATCTAAAGCAGCTTGAGCCGCATCGTGTGTCACATTAATCGTCTGTACTGACTGCGTCCATACATCCAAGCGCAGTCAAAGCCAGAGTAAAAAAAAAGTCTTAGAATAGGTCTTTTCGGTTATGGCATACTTCAATAGATATATCTGAACGTGGCTATATAGGAGCAGAGATCATCCAGATAAATTGTGATAAAATGTACTCATGAGTGTGTTACACGATACAGAGAAACGGCATGAAACTACATCATCGTAGCTAACAAACCCGAAATAGAAGCTCTTCAGGAGAAAGCACTTTCCCATCCTCGTCCAGCCTGAAGGTTTTGCAGAGCACGAGCCTCGAGTAGACTGAATCGAGGTCTTTTTCAACCTGGCGACTAGCCGCCTCCTCGATGAACTGCCATGGATGTTGTGGACTAATAGATAGTTGACCGAACGAGGGCCGACGCATTCCGTACTCCAGAACAGCCTTGATAGCCGGACAAAGGCTGAAATACGTACCGATCGTGTAAAGCAGCGTATTCGTACCAGTAACTATTTCTGCCGGAATTGGAGCAAACGATGTCGTTTAACTTGTGCCTAACTCTCACCCAGAAAGCCTTAAGTTACCCAGAAGGGAGCCCACGGCATGAGTGGGCCCATTTTAGTTCGTTACGGAGAGCAGACTTACATTGCGGAGTTTCAGCCCCGATGTGAAGTGCTCGATGTGATGTTTCTTTCTACCCGTTATTGGCTATCCGTATTAGTACATCAGGGAAAGATGAACCCGCGATACATATGCCCCTTCTAGATGAAGATATGTGCGAGGCGACGTATTGCAGTGGTTACGGCTGCCGACACCGCCACTGTCATACAATTGTTGTTTTATGCGTGAGAGTCGGTAGACACTTTTTATGGTTACAACCGTTTTTACTACCGTGTTCAGTCGGATAACGAAACAAAGAATTGTTATGTACAAAAAATCCCTTTGGCCCATAGCAACATTAGGCTAATACAGAGCACAACGCACTCACTAAATTCTTCTCGGCAATCCTAGTAAGCACGGCTACACGTGAAGTAACCTAGCCTCGAAACCGAAGGAAGACACTTCGTAGCGTGCCGGAAGCCAGTTATCTAATGCAATACTTATGGGCTGTACCAAACTGTCTACTGAAACAGACACAAAAGCCACCAGGAAGTTTCCGACGAAGTGCAGCTATAGGTTAGCTAATATCATGCTACAGGTCAACCTTGTCGGCACGAATCTACACTGCATCAATTATTCATCATTCCCTAACAAAGCAACCTTAAGCTGAACAATAGAAATACTTTTACAAACGTAAACTAACGGAGCGTTTTCTCACCGTACTCAACCCACGAGGACCTTGTATTGGTTTTATTTGTGAGCGACACACACATTCGACTCTGAATAGTCGCACCACTTCCTGTCCTACCTATTTTATACGGATATGGAAAGTAAAAAGATAAATGCACTACGAAATAAGATGAGGATTAGCCTAGTCATAGATGCCTGTAGAAGATGATTACTGACACGCCGCGAGCAAGATCCGTGATGGCCTCTGTGACGGTGTCGTCTCCCGCCAGCGAATAGGGCTTCGAACGTTCGTCCAGCAGTTTGACAAATTTTGCAGGGAACCAGCCGCGACAGCCGTTCAGTTCACCGATCTGCAAGAAGGAACACAGAAATATATATATATATATATATATATATACACTATATATAATGATAGAGGTAAAGGTTATTTGATATGACTAGGCTAGATGGCAGTCTGTCGAAAATTACCGGTACCCAACCAAAAAAGGACTTTGGATCAATTCCACATTTACAGCTCTTTACAAGGTTAAAATAATCATGAATTAGACGTACCCAACAGTGTTCATCTTTCTGGCTGACGACGGTAATAATGTCGTTTTTCTTGAAGCCGAGCTCGTCATTGTCTGACCGCTCAAAATCGAGCAATGCCTTGGCGCGCTTTTGCCTGTTACCGATAGCGATAGTAAACTGTTGATGATCCTTCGCGTGTGATTCCATTGAATAATCAGCAGTAAGGTTAATCTTCAACTTCGGGTCTAAAGACGTGAAATGACGTGCTATCTGCGCATCAAAACATAAAAACCACAACGGATTTATTCTTCGAAGATACCATTTTATACACCGTATCTGGGACTAGTGTTAATACCTGAAAGTTATTCCGATCACCACAAGCGAACCCGGACGATTTTGAGAACAGACAATACAAAGATTCGAATCTTCTAGAAGCTTTCAGTGAAGGTCTGTTGACCTTATCTGAGAAGACATGAGTCCAGCAGGATGAGACATCCGTTAGCTAGAAATATTTACGCTGAAGGGTCAAGTTTTGGTTTATCTAAGGCCACAGCGTTGTAGAAATTCATTGAAAATTGGTGAAGAGCACTTGACCGAAAACCTAGTATGTAAATGGCGAAGAATTTGCATCGTTTGAAGAACGGAGACGGTAGTTTTAATTGGGGCAATTACATGTCAGGATCCGAAGGACGAGAACGTATTGGCACAATCGACGAGGTTTTTCACAGAGGCAGAGTTTAACGTCTGAGAGCTCTGTCCGTCAAGCCAGTGTTTTACATGTAGAGCTTAAATACTGGATATGGATTATTGGTACGTTATTTATTTGGATACAGGATGACGATGCCTGACCTCATCGCTATGCTTTACTACTAGTTTCTGGCTTCGGCAAAGCGTCATGTAATGTCGGCCTAAATTTGCTTGTGCTGCCAATCTAGGTGTGTGCGATTATAGCGCTTTTTACCCCCCAAAAGGGGCTAAGCATATCCTGTTATAAATTTAATTCAAACAGTCGTAGATAGAGTATTTACATATGGGAACGCGAATCATAAATGGCCATTCAGAAGCCACCAAGGCCATGTGTATAAAAACTAAAAAAGAGTAACGTATATTAAAAAATCATTACTTTGGTTCGACTATATGAAAGGGATTCAGTTTCAAACCCCGTCAGACTCGCTCGTATTAGCCATAATATCAAGTGATATAAAGTTTCATTGAAATTTTCATAGAAGAACACTGACATTTATAAGAGATATCCTAGTCTGTATTTTTATATAGGGTATATAGGTTTTAGAACGTTGTTGTAGGCTTACATAGGAGTTTTATATCTTACATGAACGACGTGAGTACTGCTTGAACATTTTACAACCGTTTACCCAATCTTTCTTTCGATGTGCTTATCTTCTTGTCTTACTCTTGCCTCTTCGTTTACTGCTAATGAGCGCGCTTGTGGCAGTTCTGTGAGACTGAATGCTGCTGCTGCTGCTACTGCTGCCATAAACGCTGGCCATTACTTCGCTGCATCAGGGGGTCACTACATACGTTTCGGAGTACGGCTAGACAGTTCGGTCACTGTATAGGAGTACTAGGGTCATGCACCTGTTTCCTGTGTTTTATTTACCACACACACACGTCATCGTCTAATTCGGCGAATGTAACAAATCAATATGTATTTTCGAGCCGTGCAAATTTGAACTGGGACGGCAGTTTTGAATGTAATACATACAAACGCTAAGTCATGAAAGCGGTTTGCACACCACTATAGCATCGAATATTTATTTTTCCGTCCGGTAGCGACAAACCTAATATCCAGGTGCATGACCTTGTCAGCCAGCATTACCTTAATGATATCCTGTGCTTCGAACAGAACTAGAGATATCGCAAGAATTGTATATTACAGACCTAAAAGAAGACTATGAGGTTCTTTGAGAAATCTCTCGCTAATAAAAATGAATCTGAATGGTCCACCACATAATAACGCATTTACATGTTTAACGTTGGATGCGGTCGATAAGTTAAAGGGGAACAGGCACGTTCGGTCGGCCTAGCTATAGAAAATTCTGCCATGCACATTTTCCTAGGGCGCCCCGGAACACACTAGCTTCTAGCTTTATAGAGGATATACATATTCACAAGGAAAGTTCAAGAGATAGTACTCTTAAAGGTCCCACACGGCCAATGCTTCTAGTCCAGATGTCATCGTCACTAAGATCAAAAAGGCCAAACATTCAGCAAGGCTCAAGTTGGCAACGATGATTGACTGATACACCTAAAATTTGCTACGAGCGTCTCTCATTGTCACTATCGAAATATTGTATATAGGACCTGATATTCCCTGTGATAGATCTTTGGGATACAAACCGGGGCATAGACAGACTTCGTTTCATGCTGTCTGATAGAATGCCGAACGGCGATAGCGGACGTCAAATTCGAAACGTAAAGGATTTGATATTTAAAACATGGACCGAGCTAATCAGCCCTTCAATTCGAGCGGCGTACGGTATAGCTATCATCGACAACAGCGCTACCAGTGTTGACACGTCGGGGCACCAATCGCCATTCGAATACGATATAAGTTATTCTTGACCAGTATCTTCAAGCAAAAAGCGAATACCGATAAAATCGTCACCAGATGTCAGTCAAATAGTCCCGTAGGCGACCGTCGCGCAGCGGCAGAGTAGGACCCTGCAAGCACCCATGCCGTTTCATATCTCTCATTTGTCTTGAATCTACCATCCATGAAGAAGCAGCTCGCATCGCAGCCTTCCACCTTTTCGTAACCGTACAATTCACGTGTGGCCAAACCAAAGCCGACTAGTAATTCATTCTCATGGCACTTAGGTCTACTCAGAAAATCGTAAATAACGTGTTATATGTATGTACGAGACCACTCAAGTGCTGCAAATATTAATCTCATATTTCCACTTTATGCTGCCACACTTACTTAGACGTACTTTTTGAGCTTATGAGGAGGAAGCACGCGTACTTTTTAGACTCTGGGGACGGTCACTAGGATATTGTCACTTGGGCTTGTAGCAGACAAATTCCAGTAGGTTAAGAAAACAGTAAGTCTGAATGGGTCATGGATATATCTTTCATCGTGGACCCACAAGTAAGGAAGCAGCTCGCCCTATAAGCCTTGTCTTTAGTGAGAGATCCACGAGCAGTTTTTTCCAAAATTGCCAAAAAACGAACTTGCGAATAAGTCGCGATGAATTATTGAGTTACGACAGGTGAAGATAGACTAGGCGGATAACTGAACAAAAGCGGCGCCGTCCTAAAGCAGATCTACGGCCGTAAGCTTGTAATGTCTATTTCATGGTATAATACAGGTATTGCTCACTAAAGCTTCAACGGTTATCCAATGTCCTAGAAAAAACAAACCAGTCTATGAGGCAAAGGCCTAGCCCATCTGTCCAAGTGCACAGTAGGATCTCAGAGCCCTACGAACAATACACGGTCACGACTTAGGCACATGCTTATGATCGGTCTCTCGATGTCCTAACGGCCGTACGGCACGCAGTGGAACATTTATTTTTCAATGGAAGCACAGCTTGGTTTTCAATGAATCCTTGACAATTCGTTGTATTTGTTACTGGGTTCTTCCAATAATCACATAGCACGACATGCTTTAAGACAGTGAGCACTAGAGAATATTAAAACTATTCAGTGAGACAATTCAAAAAATATTCAGTGAGTTCTACATAAACCAATGATCAACCTGTCTTCTGATCACAAACGGGTACAATATAAGCTCAATACAAGAGCCAGATCGGCACACATCATGGCGATATACAACTAGCCTTCCCGCTCTTCTTTGTACTACCATTATGTATATGTAATTATACGGTGTAAAGAATTAAGCTTTAGGCCCACCTGCAAGATAGCCTCTCGTAGGTCAACGAGTATTTCGGTTTGTTTAATGTTTTTCGTTCTCACCAACTCGTCTCGACTTTCCTCATTCATGGCATTGGTCGCCGTGCCAAGAATGACTTGCACGACCGATTTGCCTCGTTTGAGTTGTCGCTTTGTTAGGTGCTGCACGCAGATACGCCAATCGATGCGGACATATCGAAAACACAAAGCATATGAAAAATGGCAAAAGTTTACTTCGTTAGTATAGTAGAGTTGTATAGTTGAATAGAGCGCGTTTAACTAGACCGTCCTCAGAAACTTGGCCAGCTCACGATATCCACTCGCTTCTTTATCAGAGCAGAAGCTCAGTCTGAGCGAGGTTGAATAGAGCTGGGACTAGGTTCGGGGCTACGTAGCATATGATAGAGTCTTGAGCTACTGCCGTCTACGGCGCGCATTAGGATATTGTCATAGAGGGTTACCTCATTGTGTTATCGTTGAGGTTTTGTTCTACTCGAATACTTGTTGATGGCAATGCGCAAAGCGTATAATCCACAGGTAAATTATACTTCCTGCTACGAGTCGACGCTGTACACATTCGTACTTTACCATGTTACCCTTACGACGAAATAAAGGATACAGGTATATACAGTGACATACAGATCGCTGACAAACTCGCGTCCAAGCTTGTGATAATGGCAAGAGACAGTTTACCACGAAGGGAAGTTTAAAGGTTGATCAGCTAAAGCTACTACACTACAGTTCATTATAGAATGTTACCTAGAAGTTTGACGAAAACAGTATCCCCAGAGACGACCTGTTGGCTGTTACGATGAGCATACCTGTTTAGGCAGGTTGTGTACGCTCTCAGGATTAAGGAGAACCCCTTGATCTGCCATCAGATAGGCCAGATGCTTCCGTCGAAGCTGGTCTATATTTTCTTGGTACAGTTCAAATTTCTGGCTAGACGAAATCAACTCCTCGAGCTTTGAGCTTTCAAGTTCTCCAGGGAGCGCTGACAGCGCATTAAAGATTTCCGCGGAGTTCTCGAGGTTAGCCAGCTCTGACTCCTTACTGTGAAGTATCGCCAGGGTCACCTGAATACAAAGCAATTAATAATAAGGATCACAACAATAGATTTAACATAGCTAACTTAAAACAGATACGGGATATATCTCGGCTGCTGGACTCATTAGAAGGAATGTAAATTGTTACGCGTGAAGCGCTCACCGGCGAGCCACTTGTTTTCATATATGTTTTGACGGCTTTTAAAATAGGCTTTTAAAATAATAATATAGCTATTTTAGAGCAGCTTCATCGTGATAAAGACTGAACACGTCACTGCTCTCTCATAAAGTTCTGCCCCGTCACACGGGGATTATAGTTAATGCTAGTTAGCAAATATCATTTTTAATCCTGAAGTAAATATAAAGCCTAGACGCCCTATACTTTTGTTATAAGCTTCCGTTGTTTTTAACTGCCCACTACAGTCGTTCAGGTCAGATAGGCAAAACCATTTTTCTGTGGCTGATCCGAAACAGACTAATAATCAGAGGGGCTAATCGAAGAACGACGAAATAGTAGCGTTGAAATCTATAGCATAGTGTCAATCAATTAACAGAACGATATGCCGCTCATTAACTAGTCAGTATTGGCATGCTCGGGTAGTACTTTGATATCGCACTGTATATAATTTTTTTTATTTAAACATATATGTTATATAGACATGTTAATTACTTGCGCTATAGGAAGTTTGACGCCCGTATCTGAATATATAATTACATGCTATCTAATGGTTATTTCGTAGAAAATGCGAGAATATTTGTTCTCGTAAAAAATACCAAAATTACATAATTATATTTTTTTTTATTATCTAATATAACGTATATGCTAATAAAATATTGTTGAGCTGTAACAGGTCATACGCAAATAAATTTCATTGATCGAATTTCTTTAAAAATAATATCTCAAAATCAAATGTTCGTGCGAACCTGAAATAACAGGATGGAGCCGTGAAAAAAGAAGAGATCCCAGATACGAAGAAGGCATCGTGTGTTGAGAACCGAAGCGAACGCTGTCAGGAACCATTGTAGAGTGATCAAGCTTAACTCGATGTCATGTTCCAGCAGAAGTGCGTGAAGCTGCGGTAGTTCCGTATCTATTTTTACAATAACATTTTAAATTCCCGTGTTGTTTACTACGTTAGTGGCAACCTTGAACCGACGAACTCTTCTTACAAATATTATTGATATTCAAACAACATTACCAACAGACCAAAGCAAATGTTTTCTCCTTAACTAAAAAGTCCTGTTATGGCCTTCGAACATACGAGACCTATCGATGTCAATCTAAAGGGAACAGTGCTACAAAGACAAAGGCTCTCGTTCTTCTCGTTACGAAACTTCATCTGAAAAATTCACTTATATGACACCTACCAATGAGTGCTCTGAGTACTTTTTGATCAGCCTGCACTCCAAGAAGAGTGGTCGCGAAGTACGATGGTGGCAAGAGATCTTCAATAATAGTGCACAGTAACCAAAACGCGTCCTCCTCTTCAAGGAAAAGCAGAAGGGTACCTGCCACCTACAGTTAGAGAGATACGAAGTACAGCATAGGATACGAGTGAACGAAGATCGATTCGCTACAGGTATAAAAGACACTGTTTTGCCACAGATCCTTGTAGTACGTGATTTCTCCGACTACTTCCTCCAGTATAAATAGTGTCTTCAACATTAGGTCTCTCAATCGACAAACGAAAAAGAAATTTTTGACCAGTCCTGCTATAGGATCTACTGGCTTTTTTTCCAGGAAGTCTTACCACAAAATCGCATTACCGCTAGATCACTTAGCTAAGTCAGGAAAACGTGCACAACTTGGTCGTGTAGACAAAAGTAAACGATGACGGAATCCTCCGTGGTTTGATCTTAAGCGTACTTTACATTCGCTTCCAACAGAAGCTTACGAACGGCTCAACTGACGGTTACTCGAGCGGCTGTCAAAAAGGGCTCAATTCGGGAGGGCCTTAGTTGGCACAGCTGCTACGGAAAGGCGAAGGGTGGCCCAGTAAACGGATCAGACCGCTCTGGTGCCACTGCCAGAAGAAAGTTCACAGGACACGCGATGCTTTCTGCAGACCAGTGTCGTCTGGCGACCATCAATGCCAACTGACTTATTTTAAGAGTAACTTCTAGTATGAACACCGTTAGGATTGCATAATTTATTTCGACCCAGGTTCACAGGCTGGAATATAACACTGACTGCTATCCTTAGTTGATCACCAGAGGCTTTTATTCACGATAAACCTTGTAGAAATTAAGTCAATCAAATAGGAAACTGAATCAGCTCATCTAGAATTCACTTATTGGGCCATATGATAATACCTACGAGGCTCATAGTATAACCATTCTTCGCTGTTTATATGTTGTTGAAAAAGCTCACAAAGCGCAGGTATAAGATAATAATAATAATAGTTATTCCGCTTTGAGCCACGTGTAGTGACAACTCATCAGAAGCTTTATGTGTTCGAAACATCAATTTTTTTCGTCAGAGGACAAAATCACTTTACATATAGACAGAACTGTACGTACAAAATCGATCACGGCATAGTATTTAATTTTAGTATAATTTTTTTTTTATAATTATAAATTTAGTTATCGAAAAGATATATTGTCTAATACCAACCATGCCCATCCCTTGGCAATAGCCAATATCTGGGTAAAGCCAAGCGATCCCCCGGAGAATTCGACGAAGGCGTGGAATACCTGAAAGTTAACACTGGATAGTATTATTGAGCAAAGAAGTCATGTACTGCTTATTTGGATTAGGCAAACATTTTCGAAAGTGTTTTTCTGACCTGACGAACACTTCGGAGCGCATTGACAAATCAGGATCATCGTTCGATAAATATTCTCAAGAGCAACTCACATGTTCATGTCTGTAAAAGCTTCAGAAATGGCTTCAAGTTAGCAGCAATGAAGGCCAGGAGTTTTTGAAAACTTCGGCTCCTCTTGTTGCTGCTATTTAATGGTTATACTTGAACGCTAAGAACATACAGAGGTTTAAAATCGTAGAATGAATGGAAATTTTTTATGAATATTTGTACTGAACAAAGTAACGAACGCTTTACGTCGAGTTGCTTATTATAACTTGCTTTATTCACATACAATTTATAGTTCGATTAATTATCTTCTTACAGTATAATAATGCAGTCAGCGGTTCATTGGATAGCGGATGTTTTAATCGTATACATCGTATATAATTTATGTAACTACTGCTACGCTATAATAACTATCAAACAGGTATATAGTGCCATATGCCGAAAATGCCATAACTTTACTCGTCTTTCCTGACAGTAACATCCTGCTTTATATATATAATACAGGGATTATGTATTAGATATATAAAGCATACTTGGAAGCCGACACGAATGGATATGGAATACATTCATTCAGATTAGAACATAAGTGCAAATAAACGTTCGCCGTACCTCACAACTTATTTCGGCAGAGGCACAACTTGCTGTGTAGGTCCATAGATAAACAAGTTCGTACTGTGCATAGTCAGGATAAACGCGTGGGGTCTGCAAACGGTTTGTTTTGTAATGTTCGATCAATATGGAAAAAAGGTGATGACGCTATCACGGGAGTTGGATAGGATCGGGGTATCGGCACGGGGCTAAGTATCCACTATCAAACAGCTTTAAAATATATGAAGAGTGTTGGCTACAAAAAGAAATCGATCATATTTGGGTCTGCGATAAAATGCAAGTAGAAATTTGCTTGGCAGCCTGTGGCAAAGCCCAGAGTGCTATGGCGAAAATCTGGTGAATTTAAATAGAATGATCGATCATAACTAACAATATGACAACAATTTTCTTGGAAGAAGTCGACCGGTATTGGAAAATTTTTAATGGGAAGTTTTCATGTATCCGCTTCATATGTCACAGTTCGTATCACCAAGCTCGGTGATGCCGAGGTCTCGTTGGCTTTTTATAGGATGGCGGCGAGTTAGTTCAATCGTGTGGCGCATATTTATTTCAGTGATATAATTTTAAAACGCAAAGAAATTGTTTGCTTCAATTTTTCTTAAAATGGCCGACACCTTTTTCGACGAGTCGGTATATGTACACGTTGATTTTCGCAAACACAGACGTTTATAACTGAATAATTCACCATAACTTTTTCCGTAGTTGAACGAAAGATTACCTTACGTCCTGCTTTGTTCGTTCATGACATCGGGTCTGTTTATCTACTAATCCCATTTGCTGAACTAATTTTCTGCTTTCAAAGTATTTATCTTCATTACTGTAGCTGTGCAGAAGACCACCTATATATCTGCCCTAATATTCGAATAACTACTTGATATATAAATTACTGAATGAGTTAAGTTCCTGAATAAGTTAAGGTAAATTGATTATGACCAACACCTAAGTTACAAGGACTGTTGAGAGAAAAATTCGTGGATCGTTTCCGCAACCACTACAACGTATTCCTAGAAGCACAAGAATTAATAAGAATCGGCTGTGAAGTGTTTTGTAGGGACATTTATATGGGACTCGTATATTCTGAACTCCTGATCATAGCACGCATGCGGCTCAACGTCACAGGGGCTTACGTTGAACACCGACAAATCAATTAAGGATCGGTAAAGCTTAAAAATACCGCATCATCTATGTAGGCTTTATATATATATATATATATATAATTCAAGCTCTCTTTTGTAACCTGTTCGTTTATCGGTACAATTCACACTTAAGGACTTCATGCGACCAATTTTCAATTACTCTGCATGGGCTGCCAAAAGCCATTCCGGCGGATTCTGGAATCCGATAACTTTTCAAGTGCGTGTAGCTGGCAGACGAAATTTGGCTGGGAAATATTGTGAGTGAAATCCGATTGAGCATTTTTTGCATCAAAATCAACACCCAGTGCTCAAGTTTTCATTCCTCGAAGTTCACAGCGCTGCAGAAATTTATCAAAGATTCTAAAGACATTAGGTAAGGAGGCCTTTGAGTACATGAATAGTGCAAACGTTTCAATGATGGAGATTGGGGTGTTGAGGGCTAGTGAAGAGCAACTGGATGTCGGGACCCGAAGAACAGAAACGCGGTGCTACAAGTAAAAGGGCTTTTCGCAAGAGTAGAGCTTAAAGTAAAAGGGCTTTATTGGCTAAAAGCGGCATTTCGCATGCAACATTTTACAGAATAATAATTCAAATACTGGAAACCCAGAAACTGAGTAAAAAATTGACCCTGCGTGAATTGACTTCAGATTAGCGCGTGTGGTGAATTTCAAACGCAATATGCCCAATTTTGGCATGGGTCCACTAAGAGAAACAGCAGGCGGGGAATGACATCGCTTTGCAAAGAAGTTGAGTTCAACGACAGTGTCGAGTAGGTACGGAGGTAAAATGATGGTAATACCTGCAATGCACATTAGGGGCATCTGCTACAATCAGACGCTTGTCCAAATGAGATAATAAATACAGCCTGTTCCTGGAGAGACTCGTGTGCTAATGTTGGAACAGAAATCGAGAGCACCCAGTCTGGTTAGCGCGTCGCCATGGCTTAGCCACTTCCCGCAAAATTAATCAAAGGAATATTTTATTTCAACGCGCTTATTTTGCCCATCCAAATGTGCATAATTACGGAGCTTTTTCATCCTATAAAAAAGAGCACTGGTGATCTAGCGTATATTATTGATAGAAGTCGTCGATAAAAAAATTGCATGTGGAAATACGAGTGGTATGAAAATGGTCGTCCAGAAGCCGCCAGAGCGCTAGAAGAAGGTTGTAGAAAGTAAAAAAGGGTCCACTTATAATACTAAAACTCATCATTGTAGCCCAACTGATTTAGACTAGATTACAGACACCACTGGCTACCTAATAAATATTGCTGTTTGCTTAAAAACTGATCGTGCTAAAGGATTCGTTACTTAAAGTATTGATCTTGCAGATCCTCTATATCTACACAATGCTATTTACTTAAAGCGGTGCTCTCTGTACAACGCATTTATTTCGTTATATCTACTTGCTCTGAGAAGAACTGCATTAAAAATTATCGCAGTACTTACCAGTGGAGTCTTTTTTAGCAAAGCAAATATTATTTGGCAGAGTTCGAAGCAGATCCTTCTCGATCTGTTTCGAAGTCATCTGATGATCTCCAGCGGATGCCTTTACGATATCATGGTAATTTAGGTCTGAGGTATCGCGTTTTCGGAATGCTCCCGATAGTCGCATCCACAGCTGTGGCCGCAGTGAGTGCGGGATACCTAAAACGCGGATCTAGTTTTGAGCGTAATCGAAGATACTTTTTTGGAATTTTCTTTAACTGTTATCCTATTTATCTTAAAAAAAAATACTGGCATTTACTTTTTCGAGTAAAGCGTTTCCAGTTGTGAGTTCTGTGAAATAGGCCGCAACTGTCTTTCGACTTGCAGTTGGCATCAACGATAGTTTTTGGACCTTTCTGTGTTCTGCCTTAGTTCTGCTTAATACCCGCGTTATACGACCCGGTTCCTGCTCAGAAAGGAGCACAACCAAATGTCTACTAGCTCAATACATGTATATCCACTAGAAATAATTCGCAAAAGCAACAACAGCCTAATAAAGAGAAGTTCTTATTATTAAAACGATGAGGAGAAGTTTAACTTATTGTTCCATGTGAAAATGAACCAGCTTTTGTAACCTATGTTGCTATTATTTTAAAGGGCCTTAGAAATGGTCTTAAATGTCCTTTCTTAGTTAAAAAACTAAGTTTTTACACTTCTACATATCTTTTAGACTCATACTGCATACGCTTGTGATAGGGCAATAGAAACTTGTTTCTGTACGAATTTTATAGGCACATGATGACCTAGGTTCAAAACTTGGCGTGGGTACTGGGAATCAGTCGTCGAAAGCAATGGTTTAGGTGAGACTCGATTTTGATTTACTCATTTTTCTAGAGAGTGTTCGAGAGGGGCTTGTTCTGTGTTTTCTAGAGGGAACGTTTACGATGATCCGTCAAAATTTTGTGTTTACCATATGTAGTAGTATATAATTTGAATGCTATCAGTTAGCTATCAGCATTTATTATGATGGGCATAACACATTTGCACTACTAAAACGTAAAAATGTTGACCTGGACCATTCTCGAATTTTCATCTGGCAGTAATTGAAGGTTCCATATCATATAATAAATGAAACCAAGTTTTTTTGGGTACGAATCATATATTCGGTTAAAAGCTATCATAACAGGACACTTGCTCAAAGTAAAAGTCATACTTTCAAGAAAAAGACCAAGTTCTCTGTGTGTAGCTGTAAAACTTATATATAAATACCTTTTTTAGTGATCATCGTGCAGAGTCTGTCGGTTTTATCAAGGTAACGATCGATTTGATGCCAAGTGAGTTCAGCGTTTGTGTTGTCCGAATGCGCAAACTCGAGGTACCCAATCCACTCATCACGATGCGTGGCTATTTCAAGAGGTGAGGCACTGTCGTTGCTGTCATTGTTTCCCGATGTCGTCCCATCTACGCTGCCTATCCTATTCGTAAAAGAAGAGGCCTGTCTTTTTCTGTGCGGCGAGTGTTCGTCCTCCAAACGGAAGCCAAATTCGTCGTACCGGCACTCATGGTGACAACCTACATCCTCGGGCTACAGCGCGACGTACAGAAAATCAAAATTAAAGTTGTGCTGATGGCATTCGATGTGGGATAGATTTATAAACGCTATTATTGCTGTGCCAACCGTTTCGCTTACTCGTTCCATAATGAAACCAAAATAGTCAAACTGAGGTTTGTAACACACAGCAAGAACAAGGATGCTCACGGGGAAGCCGATTAGCAGACATTAATATTATCTTGATAAATTGAGTAGAGCTAACGGTTTATATGCTTTAGAGAAAAAAACAATGGAGTCAACCTGCATGGCGAAATCGTAACGAAGACAGTTATTATCGTCTAATTTTGTTGTGATAAATATATAGTAGAGATCAATGGCCGCTTACATTCAGATAAGCCTTAATTTTGTTATCATTATCTAACTGTCGTAGCCAGAACTTTATCAAGGAAGCAACACTTTATTACTGTAAAATGTATTCAGTCCTGCCAGCGGCGGAACAATTCATTGTTTGAGTTGAAGTAACTGGAATACCTGCGTGCTCATGTGTATTGGCACGTACTTGCGCGAACGAAGCAAACAGGTCCAGTGGCCACATGGAAGGAATGAGTGCGGAGAAGGGGCCCCCAGGCGACGGTGAATAGCCGCTATTGCGACCGAATACACTGGCACGCACCGAAACAGCTTCCGACACCTCAGGTTCATCTTCGTCCTCCGAGAGAGTATCCGCTGAAATGGCGTCGTCGCGCGGTAACATAAACAAGCACGATACTTTACCCATCAATCAAAGCAATCACATTTCTCTACTTGTGCTGGATATTTATCTCGTCGTTGACCACTATTCTTACGCTGAAATTGCTGCGGGAGGCCCAACTGCGCTATTTTTTGTATGATTATGCAGAATATTTTTCACGCTATCAATAGCACAATAGGTTCGATCTTGAGCTAGTCGACCTGGCGGTAAATTGTCAACCTTCTATTGGACTGTATTCGGCCGCACCAGTCCACCTTCGGCACCTATGAAAGGTCAGAGCCTAAAATAAGCAAGGGTTCGGATGAATCATCTAACATTCATCTATACCATTACTAGTGGTACAACGACAACAACGATAACAGCGACAAACTAAACGAACATTGAACGCCCTGAGTTCTCTTGGTCAGGCAGCTGGATTTATAAGAGACGCGGCAGACCCGCAGCGGTTGAATTGTGATCAAAACAAGCAATAACTATAGAATGTAGGGGACGGACACACAGTTGCCGTCGGTGTCTAAGCTCGTATGACGCACAGCTTCTAATCGACTGATTGAGCAGCACTCAGATATGAACTGAGCAGAAGTAGCGGTAGCAAGTAACTGGATTTTCCGTTCATTCAGTTTGCTCCCCTAGAAGGATTAGCAACAGCGACATCAGTACTAGGGAGGAAATAGAAAGTATCGCTATGCCGAGTGACTAGTGGTGCGGTGCCACTAGGTCACAGGACAACAGCACAAGGTATATTCGTCGAAACATCTGAATATCTGCTAGCAGCGGCAGGAGTTAAAATAAATTCGATGGCAATCAGAGCTAAAAGGACCACAGAACTGTCCGCTCCTGCTCTCAAGGTCGAAGCTGTGGTTGATTTTTTAATCATTATTTTATCACTATGTGTCTTGTTATCAAACAACAGCCGCTATCAGGTAAAAGTACGGTAGTGGACGCGTATTGACGTTGCGCTCCGAAAACATTTTCGACTTACCGATGGGAGCTCCCTTTGAATAGCCATCATGTTGCCCACCCACACCAAGTATGGAACGGGCGAGCTCCATCGAACCCACCGAACACCTCGTACCAGTCACTTATTAGTCGTCACGACGTGACAGAAACTCCGTAAATGATGTGGCTAAAGGATCCATCGAATGTCACAAGTCTCGCAGAAAAAGTAAACACATATGGAGTGAAACTGTGTGTGCGTGTATATGTCTGTGTGTGTGTGTGTGTGTGTGGTGGCAGAAACGCAGACACACGGTGCGAGGTCTGGTTGCAGCGAGGGGCGAGAGGGCTCACCAGGCCAAGCGAACATGCCAACAGGCAACCTGCCTACGAGTAGGTCAGTGACAGTGATGGCCTGGCTTTTCTCACTCACGGCTCTTCGATCGATCGCCATTGGCCAGCACTGGCGAATTGTAGGCTTCCGCCATATGTCAGCGAATAGGACTTACGAACATTCAACATTTATTGTGGCGCTGAAGTATATTTAGAGGGTTAAAAATGCCAAGTTTTGGCTTTCTACGCTACGTACTGCGTAGTGTATATTTGTATAAAAAAAAAATAAATATAAAACGGCAGGCTATGATAAAATCGGTACATACACTAGGAGACAATATATTCACATGTAAGCGTCTATGAAAAAGCGTCTTCACAAATCCGACATGCAAACACACCCGTTGCTTTTAATGTAAGTACATGGATATTTACAAAAATGATAAGCATCTTGATGGTGAATATGTACGGAAATAGAGTGAGCCATAACTCTTTTTTCGGACCTTCGTTTCACACAGTTTACATTGTCCTATTCGAGGACCTATTCTAAGGATGAAACTTTTTTTTTAGATCTCCGGAAGCTTATCAATGATGGCATTTGCGTGCAAAGGCAGTCACAACAGACTCGAAATAGGCTGTCCAGTGAAAAAACTACTAGAGAGACGCAGCGCCACCCTAACGATAAAACGGTACAAACACTGAAAAGTGTTAGTACGTTGTCAATAATTAACCTATAGTCCTATAATACATTCGTCTTTTATAACAAGCGTTAGTGCGTAAGTACTCATGTTCCTCTTCTTCACAGCTTCGACAAGGTTACGTCCAATCGCCAATTTAGCGGTGTCTTAAAATAGACACGTTTAGCGAATTCCGCCATATTGGCTGAATGATTACGTTATAGGTTGTTTCGTGTACCATTTAATAATATAACAAAAGCCGCCTTTGAGACGCTCAAAGAAAAACATATATATATATTAGTCTCGTTAATCATGGAATGAAACTTGTATGTGCAAGAAGTTACTAACGAATAGAAAAATGAAAAATGGTATTGCCTTGTGATATGCTTGTTGAACATTTGAGTAGGTTGTTATCTGCTCACTGTAACTTACTAATTTATGGCTTACTGTATATCTATTAGCATAAGAAGTTGAAAGCACAATCATCAAATGAATACATACAAATTCAAGATTTATTCTTTTTAGCGTATTGTACACATCAAATGATAGAGATAGAATGTAATTCAATGGGGAAGAAATATTCTGTAAGTTAAATGCAAACGATTAAAAAGTGAAATTGTCACACGGCAGTTATTTTACAGCCAAAGCCCTCTAGCCTTCTGTAGGACCTTATTAACAACGTTGTAATCGATCCAAGATATTCTCTCCAATAGCTTGCCCTCAATGGGAATACTCGTCGAAAATGTAACGTCTGTGAACTCGTGTCCGTTCCATTGCACGAACTCATTCTGCCAGCGATGATCGAAGTTGCTCATAATTAAGTATAGCGAATCTTTAGTTGATACCACGTCCAATATAGTTCGGTTTTCTACCTTCAATTTTGCTTCCTCCCACGGTATCCATGTGGCGGAGTTTTCATCGAGCATGTAAAAATCCTTACAGAAATTGCGGCCAATCGTTCGGGGAATTGCTAGCAGCTTTCCGTTAAAATGATGATAAATGTACGAGTTGTTAATGTATGGAAGGACAGGTATCGATTTATAGGAGAGCAATAAATGGGCTCCTGTAATTGGGCATAGGTTGAAAGCGAAGACTGAATTTGCTATAACTTCTCCCGTGAGAGTCTTGAAATTTCCAACGACAAACAAACGCGATTTACCCTGGACCGAGTCCTCAAAGATATAGTCTAGATATGTAATGCTCAGCGGCCATATATCTCCAAAAGGCTGAAAACGTTGAGTTAGGTCGTTCCAAATGTGGATTTGTTGTTCGATTTCATTGGCCTCCGTAAATAAGGCCATTATTGTATTTTCGGAAAAGCACAGTCGGCTGGATTGCGTTGAGAGGATTTCTTCCTGAAATGGTTTTAGGGAGCGGTCACTCGGTGATCGGGCAGCCCCGTTAGTGTACAAATCTTCAATTTCGAAGATACGCAGTTCATCCTGTGTGTGGTAAAGAAACTTCCCGTGTTTATCAACAACAGCAAAGCTCTTTAACGAGGGCGCTTTCTCGTTAAATTCAGGACAAAACACTCTGGACCAGCCAAATCCGTCAAAGCTGTACAGCTTGTTAGAGAAGATGCGAAACACGCATGTCTTCGACGGCATACAGTTGATACTTTTTGTCGAGCCGAGTCTCGTTGAGTTCATGAGCGGGTCGACGATGTCGTCGCCATCCAATGTGTCTGAGTCCACACTCTTTTCCTCTAACGTCATGAGCAGGTCCCCAATGGCGCTGGTCACATCATCGTCATCAACGTAATACTTGAGAATATTGCATACTACCAGAGAGGCATCGACGCCGATTGACTCAATATTTTGCTCAGTAAAAACACTCTTCAGATCGGCACAAATGAAATTCACTATAGGCCCTTTTAAATAGTCTATCATCAGGAAGTCTGCCGCATACAGAAGCTCCAGCGCACTTGCGTTGTCAAATTGCACCGTTCCGCTGTAGATATAATCAAGCAGGGCCGAGATTACTCTGTTCGAGAAGGGCAGCTCCACCTTGGCGGCTTTGGAGTCAACGAAGTTCGATGACAAAAGTGCGTCGAAGTAGGGACACGCGGCAGCCGCAATCAGCTTGTGGGCAGAGAATGCCTCTTTACTGTCACAGCTGTGTATTCGCAAATCACAACTCGGATGTGAGTCGAGACGGCGTTTGTTAAACATACGAAGGAGCTTCCTTCCATGATTGTAATCGACGATCCGCATCTTTGTGGAAACCTTATTCGGCATTCCTGATTGTACACTATTGACAATTGACTGTCGAGAATAGGGTGTAGCTTCGAAACACGTTATGTTCTGTGTCAACGTGCTACAAACATCGCTGCTATAGGGACGCTGCCATGGCAGTCCGTCAAGTGGGGGAAGGTAAAGGCTTGAGCGAGTTTAAAACTAACCTATTGCGTCGACTAGGCCCTTGCAGCGTCGATGTTTCAGGTACTGCGACTCGGTGCTATGCTCCTTCGTCTAGAGACCCGTTTGCCGTAAGGCCGATGCATGGCGCCGCTGCAAGTCAACCGATCATTATTAATATACGACAGTCGCCATAGCGTACAACGGCGTTAGCGGACACTCTCGTATCTCGTACGCATACGAAGTGTGCCATAGGTAGAGCTATCATAGCTTGGGCAGATGCTGCACTCAAGTCCAGTTAGTCACCGCCAGATGTGATGTCGGCTCTAAGGAATAAATAGACTCGCCAAGCGCCTACAGAGTCAGCGGCGCTGCCTCAGGCGCATCATCGTACGTTACGAAGCGTTCCCCTGACACGCTACTACGGTACCATACGAGGCCTAACACACTACAAACAGCAGTGTTCTAGTCGGTGATGTTTTATGCCATAGCGTGTAGCTTTACTTCAGAAATGTTGAAACCTATAATATTAGACAACTTTCAACTAACCTGAAGATGTTTGTCTTGGAACACCTACCTGCATAACACAACCTAGACCTTACAATTTAATTTCTTTTTATTCGGGTGAGTTTATGGCCACGAAAAGGTATGCTGTTTTACAACTGCAGGCTCCGAAAGGCGTAAGGATAGCGACTATGGGACGGCCTTACTAGTTGATTAATACTACCGCAGTTATTGGGATCGACTTTAGAATGACATATCCAGCAGCATAATTTTTAATAGTACCATTCTTAATATTTTAGCGGTGAATTATTATAATTAGCTTAGACTAGAAAATCGGCGAAACGCTGTTGAAATAAGCGAATTGTTTGGTGGGCGTGTTTGTTGTTGTCATTATTACTACTGTTTATTTGAGACATGCGGTTTGTTTGTTATTGAAGATAAAAATTATATTTTAAAGCTTTTTTTATTCAAGTGATTATTATTGTTTTATTTTTGCATGTCTATACTTATATGACGACGTATCATGAACGCGAAGATAATAACTGATACACTAGTTACCGTCATTCTAACGACTAAACAGATCTGTGCTGACACGCTCATAAAGTAGGTATACTGCACGGCAGGTGTTGCTTCCATGAGTATTACTCTATCACTTATCCATGAAGTATATGATACAAAACAGCGGCAAGGCATACGGATTCGCGGATAAAATTAGCGGTGTTCTAGCGTCACCAGAAATATATATGTACAAGATGCCGGGTGAGATACGTGTATATTTAGTCCGTGCGCGAATATTTCCTACTTGCTCCGGCTTCCACTATCACTTCATGCTAGCCATAACGGTAGTAGGATCGTAGGACTTTCCGCCTTGTTATTGTTGAGAATATGTGCCAGCTGGTGGAGTGAGACGCGCACGAGAACGTTGGCTACGACGGTGACGGCGGTGGATCGCGCAGGCGTTCCACTGATTGCTAGTTGGCTGTGTCGTAACTGTGGCACGCTGCCTGGCGTCGCTGAGGCGACCAGAGAGCGTTGCCTCGCTACTGTTTTACTCTGTGAGAGTCATTGTCATGGCGTGTTACGTTCATCGTTGTTGTTGTTACTGCTGGGAAAGCGCTTAAACAAAATACGGTTAGCTCATTATGTCCTTCTTCTGGCGGCTGGTATCCACAGGGTTCGTTTCTGCGCTGGCTGTGCGATCGCCTGTGCGCGCTTCTCAAACGCGACGGTATCTCATCTCGCACTCAACCTTCCAACCAAGATAAGTTTAATGCTATTTATTCAAGTACTATAATCCAAAGTCATGCTTCCCCATTGTTAACAGTGGAAAACAAATGAGTCGAGCACGTATATGGAATGAAATACTATCACAAAATAAATAATTGAACTTCACTATTGTTTGTGGCGTCGCAGGAAATAATAACAGTGCGTATGTCTCATCAAAAGTAAAATCGTTCACCTTTGAATATATCAACATTTCTAATAGGTTAGCGTCTTATAAAGCAATTTACCCAACGAGTCGTTGATGGCTGTCGCTCATTTATGTTTCATACCAAATTTCGACTATTCTCTCAACAGACTATCGACATATAGAAGCAGCCGCGTCAGTCTGGTAGAATTCAGTATCATTAACTCTTGTGGTATTAGACATAAATCAATATTTACGTTACGTTCACGGGACATGTTCCTATAATGCCAAAATAGTTTCATTGATCTTGAAACACGAATGAGATTAGCCCATATAGATCATAGCGACAATTTGTCCTACTAAAAAAACTACACAAATCTGATAACATACAATTAGTTGTATCTTTACATTACATTTTTTTCCAAACAATAACGTTATAGCTCCTATCACTTAGCGAGCTGTTCCGTGGTGCTACCGGCTTATTCAAACAACATATGTAAACAATGATAATAGCAGACTGACTCCATTATTTATAACTTTCGAATTTGAGAAAGAGATGCGCATGGTTGTGGTACAGCGGGTGCGAGTACCACAGTCGAAAGCGTGTACTATAATCGTGTAGCGCGAGATTCAAATATGTGTTACAGTTAACGGTGTGAGAAAAGAAACCGAATTTAATTAAAATGAATGAATCTAAAGTAATTCAATAATACACATATATTTTTTGCGGTCGTGTATCCGTTCGAGAATTTCAATCCTGCTATGTGTGCAACGTGCGTGCGCCACATTATTTACATTTACCAGTATCGTTCAACGCATGCTCACTGTTGAAAAAAAGTTTGCAGATCAAAGAAGCGATATTTTCAAATCGACCGTAAACGGCACCTCTAGGACATGAAGACAATGTCCTTAGTTTTGCTTAGATACGATAGATACGAACTCATCAAGAACATTCCGAATTCAAATACCCCGCTATGTATACATATTTTTCAGTTTGTAGAAATGTTGTCTAGATTGTGTCAAGCGTGCAAACACTCTTTCCATTTTACTTTTTGCCTATATTTGAAAACAGAAATAGCCCTATGTTCCCATATATGCCAATAAATTGTCGGGACAAGCTAGTACTTATGCGTCTATGAGAGAAAAATCATTTAACATTCGCTAGTTTGATCCTGACATGTTTATCCATATAAAACTTTCAGACTGCAGCATTTATTAATGCCCCGTATATAGTCGAGTGAGTTACTAACTTGTACACTTATTACGATTGCGGTCTCATTTAAGCTCGGATAAATTCAGATGAAGATGCACTGAAAATGAAGAGCACAAAAGAAATAAGGTGCCTAGAGAGTGTTAATTATCAATCTATTTACTTAACATTCTTGTCACGTAGTGTCGAACAAATGTCTGTTGTAAATATATACATATGTCAAGAGACCTTTACCTCGTATATATATATATATATATATATACGAGGTATATATATAAAGTGAAAAAGATAGTTCGAGTATGATAGAGTAAGAACTGTTTTAGAGCCTTAAACTCAATTATTATTATTATTATTATTATTATTATTATTATTATTATTAGATTTAATCGCACATTGATAGCTAAGAATTTCTAAGCCAGAATGAAAAGTGACAGTTTTACATATATATGCAGCTACATGCATATACATATTTGGCCGCGACGTATCTCTCACAAACAGACTCTAAGGAAACTGTTCTTTGGTACAGGGCAAAGGTACGAAGCTTGTGATTGTACCATAAATGGAAAATAACATGTTTGTTATATTGGTTCGCTTTGCTACACACGCATCGTCGTCGTCGTTCACACCACTTGCTCCTTGAAATTTCGGAGTTCTGACATTTGCAGATCACGAACGCGTCATTGTACGAGGGCATTGCAGAAAGCGTTTTCTCAGCCCATTGGTAAATAGAGGAATAGCGAAACATGGGCCTGTTCCGGTAGAAGGTCAGAATAGACATGAGGCAAGACGCTTCTAAGCGATTTACGGGGTTGAGGACTGGCTTAAGTGCTTCCCGATCATTTCGACTCGTAACCGGCTATCGGCGACTTCTTTGAAAAGCAGACCGGTTAAAACTTGCCGTACTTGAAACCTAGAAAATCACGACTAGCAGATATTTAAGCAGGACTGACAACAGTAACCCGTACCCAATACTGTGCGAGAGGACCGACACCAGTCGGCAAGTTTAGCATCGACAGATGTTTAATACAGATCTTCCTTAATATTCGTAATAAGGTACAGCCAGCCCTTGACTCTCTCTGTATATTTTTAATATGTATGTATGTATGTCTGCCCTATGCCATTTCGCAATAGTTGTAAATATTGACCTCTTCTATACACGAACAATCCCAGGTATTCGTTGGTGGATGATGCGATTACGATTAGGATTGACCGTGTATAAGCATCATCCGCCGATTGTTTTTTTTTTGTTTAGTAATAAGGCAAATAAGAATTTGTAAAATTTGGCATCTAAATTGATCGGGCTATTCTATCGAAGTGGAGTGTCGAGTATCTTAGCTTTACGCGTGTGGTTTCTATTCACCCAGTTTCAGTTAATTTAGTGTAATAGTATCGTTCGTCTCTTGTAGTCGCTTTAATAAGGATACATATATCATCAGCGAACTGCATTATATCCTTACAAAACTCATGGAGGTCATTTATGTACATGAGAACGACAGTATATCCCGTGACGAAATCCTGGGGGGCTTCCCGTTTGTCATTTTGACAAGAGCCTGTTTCAACAGGCGTTTTATCACACGTTCTTTGCTAGCTAAATATGAGTCGGTAGGTAAGCTTTATAATTGAGTTCTCTAGATTGACAAAACGGTAGTCTGCTGATTCGCAGCTTCATGTTAACACTATCAAATTCGTTTATCTGATCCAAACGAAAATCATAAAAACTTTCCTTTTGTTTTTCGTTGTTTGGCCAAAAGCGTCCCTAAGCACTATCATCGCACTCTTTGTATTTCGGCCTACCCTGCCTGAATTGATGTTAATGCTTGCTAACAATTCTGTTTCTCTGTTTGATAATTTAGGACTTCACCAGCAGTTCGCTAAAGACAAAAGGAGCGGCCGTTGGTCGAGGGTTGTCCGGAGTTCAATCTCCACGTTTGTGCATAGGAATAGCTATACCTCAAATGCCCTTCTCGGCGCTGAATTTGTACAGGTATTATAGAAAGGAAGTAAAGATATTGTCGTTTTATTATATGAATCGGTTCGGTGAACAGGTGGTAACCTGCTGCTAAATAAACTTAATTTAATCATAGGTAAAAGGCGCCCTGCTTCTTGTTTCCAAGCGATAGGTAAGGACTTTAACACCATCGACTCCTCAATTTTGTGCAGCATTTTTGTCGGCATTAACAAAATACATGTAATTTAGGTCTAGCATTTATTTGTTATTTTATAGCTAAGCATTTCCAGCTTGGATGTCGTTAACTTTGATTTAGGTAGTTAATTTTATAATCAGTTTACTATGTTCGCATGATGAATATAATTTTGATAATTGGGCTGAGCTATGTTCTTGGATCCTCTCGATGGTTTGGGCTAGGCTGGGAGTAACCCAGTTTTTTTTCCTTCTAAGAAGATAGCTTTTTCTTTATATTTTACACTTAGAATAACTAAATGTTTTTCGCATGGCACTGATGATAATGCCACCGCCTCATTAGTTTGTTTGGGTTTTTTCCAAATACGTTTTCATTTCGGTTTACATTTTGTCTTCGTGCTTCTAAAAGTAAACGGTAAACGGCTGATAAGCGGTCTTCTTTTTTTCTTGACTTAATTTTTAAAAAATATGATCAAGTCACGTACGATTTTTATTTAAATCCTTGAATCGCTGTTGTACTCGAATATACATTAATATTTGCGTTACATGAATAATATAATATTACAAAGATATTTATGTTAGTACCTTCTATAATCAACTTATTTTAACAA